AACTCCTCGGGGTTCCCAGATGCATTTGGACACAGTCCAAATCTCACCTGCTCTGTGAGCCCTGCATGATCTGATTCTAGCCAACTCAAATTCCCTATGTTGTGCACTGGCTCATTTCTAGGTGTTTCTCTCAGACACCCCTGCCCCCTTCCACCCTCACACCCCCATCTATCCTCACCGTGGACTATCTTCCTGTAAGTCAGCTGGACCCTCACCATCCAGCTGGGAGGAGCCCCAGTCTTTCGGTGCTCCCCTTGACCTGTAACTGCGTGTGTCACATGAAGGCATAATTGCTTGTCATCTGTCTCCTCCCCACAGGGCACCTTGGACTTGCTTTTCTCCCCTGCCCTGAGAACAAGGCCTGGCCTACATCCCCTCCTTTCTACAGCCACTGCTATCTCCATCATACCTCCCCTGAATTCAAACTCTTCCCCTCAGGCCCAAGGCTCCCAGCCTCTCCCCCTAGATAATGCCAGCAGCCATTCCTGTGGACCACTTTCCTCGTCTCTCTGCCATGCTTAAAACCCTTCAGTGGCTTCCCTTTGTTCTCAGGATCAAATCTTTGTCCTTAGCGTGGCACTCAAGGCTCTGCCTGACCTTGCCTTACTATAAAATCCAACAGAGGAGAGAATAGGAATGCTGTGGAGGGGTGGAGGAGATTGAGGGATAATTTGCCTACAACTCGTATAGCTGGTGGTTCCCAGACTTATAAATTTCACTAGCAAGTAGATTTTTCTTTTCTTTTCCTTTTTTTCTTTTCTTCTTTCTTTTCTCTTTCTTTCTTTCTTTCCCTTCCTTCCCTTCTTTCCTTCCTTCCCTCTTCTTTTAATTTGGGGACAGATAGGGTTGGCAACCTTTTATTTTGCAAAGTAAGCACATTAAATAAAACACTACCATCTCTTCATGAAATAAAGGACTCTTGTATACCACGCAAAAATCCATGATTTCAGAATAAAGGTCAGTACTCTAACTTTATGGGGGAAAACTTGCCACAACCTCATTTTTCTTATTTCGCCTGGGCCTGGTAAAGACTTGCGTCTGAAGTCAGGCATCTGGGGAACTGTTGCCGCCCCACAGTGCTCTCCCCGGCCCCCCCCTCCCCCCCCCCCCCCCCCCCCCGCCCGCCGCCCCTGCAGCTAGCTGTTTGCTTTCCCATTGATATGCACGGAGTCTTTGTCTCGAAGCTGGCCGGCACCGTGGGGAGTGGGAGGGGAGAGTGTGGCGTCCCTTTCCCACCTGCTCTGGAGCCAGGCCCCACAAACTAGTCTGGTTTGAGGGATTAGAGCCCAAGGCAGTGGGAGGAGAGAGGAAGCGGCAGAAGGGCTTCTGTAGCCCTGGACATAGCTGAGCTGCCTTGGGTCCCAGGGGCCAAAGGGTGAGCTTGAGTTGGGGCAAGGACTTTGTCCCTGAGTCTGCCCGGCCTGTGAGCTCCCTCCTCACTCTGGTGCCCCAAGATCGTGGTGGGGGGCGGGGTTTACCACGAAATGGCTCTCCTGCCATGGACAGTGGTGCGTTCCAGATGGGTACCCTCAACAGCAGTGGGGGTGGTGGCAAGGCCATTCCAACGGCCCTGGTGACCAGGCACCACCAGGTGGGGCTGATTTTGGCCACCAGTAGGGGAGGCCACCTTGGAGGACTTTGCAAGGAGGGGTTTGTGGCACTTGGGAGCAGGAACGGGAACTCTGCAGTAGTGAGAGTGACAGGACAGCAGTTTCGGAAGTGAGAACACATCTTCCGAAGGATTTGGTGCGCAATGAAGATGGGCCAGAAGGTTGGGAAGTGGCAGAGTGACAGGCTAGCCCTCAGAAGCCTACCTCAGGTTAGTGTCAGCCGTCCCAGCCCCATCTGTGCCTCTCCTGTGCCCCTAGACCAGCCTGGTGGCCATTTGTCCACACCCCACTTTTCTGCCTGGGTGAGAGCTGAGGAAAGGTGGGCATTTCAGGAGGGGAGCTTGTCAGGTCACATGGCTTTCCAACTGGTGACAATTTTAAGGCTATAAGAAGTTCAGGAAGGGGTAAAGAGTAGCAGGAGGGTGGAGTCAAGGGGCCGGTGTGGAGACAAGGCAGGCTTGGCCAGGAGCTCGTCCCAGCACCCATGTGCAGTGGTAGGAGGGAGCGTAAGTATGTATGCACAGATGGTACGGGGTGGTGGTGCAGAGAATTATGGTTTCTAAGTGTCGAATTTCCTGTATGTAAATCAACTCCACGTTCAATTGCAATGCAGTGGAGTAGCAGGATCAGGGCCTCAATGTCATCAGCCCTCTCAGACTCACACTACTAACCTAACATATAAGAGAGACTGAGAGACAAACCAGATCCCAGATGAACCATTTTAATAGGGAGAGTTATCTGGTAGGATAACTGACCTCAGACACTTGCATTATTTTGATTAGTGCCTTTTTTTTTTTCTTTTGAATGGGTGTTTTTTGGCACCTGGTAAGCATCATCCTTTTCTGTTGGTCTTATTCCTATGTCATCCCCTGGACTCATCCCCTGTTTGGGAGGAGCACATTCTTTCGGTCCTACACCATCACCTGTTAATATTCATCCTTGCCATAGCTCAATCTACTAGAATGGAGGCTGGCAAACTTTTTCTGTAAAGGGGTGCGTGGTAGAGATTTTAGGCTTTGCAGGGTCCGTGGTCTCTGTTGCAACTACTCACCTCTGGTGTGGTAGCACAAAACCAGCCATAGACCGTACAGAAACGGATGGGTGGGGCTGTTTCCACAAACTTCATGGGCCCTGACATTTGCATTTTGTATAATTTTCCCCTGTCGCAAAATAACCTTCTTTTGATCTTTTCAACCAATAAAAACCGCCAAAACCACCCTTAGTTTGCAGGCTACAAACAGACAGGTGGGCTGGATTTGGCCCACAACTACCCCTGAGCTGGAGAACAGTTTTGCTGCACGTTACATCATGGCCGGTGTTTAGCTGGTGGGGTTTGGGCATCTCCACTGCACGTTTACCAGGTAAAGCTCCAATTGGGTGTGACTGTCCACTGCCTGGTGACTGTCTTTTCCTCACCTCCTCACGCCTCCCCAGTGTGGAGGAGTAGATAGGTGCTGGGGTTTGCCCCTCAGAGCCTGCAGGGATCTCCCAGCCCATGTCTAGTGCCCTCCTGGTACAGATGGGACCACTGAGGCCAAGGCACAAGGGAATGGCCCAGAACACCCCTGAGTTGGTGGGAAAGTGGGGGCCATACTTGTAGCCTGGAATACATAGTAACTGCTCAAGCTCGCAGTAGCCATATTTCTTTAGCTGTTACAAGACTAACAAGAAGGCCTCTCTGCTCACTGTGTCTCAGGTCACCCATTTTTCACCACCTCAGCACAACCTTATTGGGTCCAGCCAGGATCTCAACCCTGCCAGGCTCCAAAGCACATGCTCTTAGCCATTCACTCACTGGGGTTCCTAGCGGTCCTCCTGCCTCTTTGACAGTGTGGGACTGTAGCTGGTTAACTCCCCAAACTCAAGGAACCTTCATTTTGCTCCTTTTCCCTCTTTACTTATTGAGGTGACACATGAAGTTGTGAGAAATACAAAACAAGGGTAAAATGCGTGGACCATGCCGTGTATATAGTGTGTGTTCAGTAACTGCTAGCTATTTCCGTTAATTCTCCAGCTCGTTAGTGTCATAGGATAAGTACTGCCTGAAAATCAGGCCACTCACTCACTCCTTAGACGTTTTGTTTTTCCAGCCCCAGGATTCAGAGCAACGGAGGGAAGTCAAACGGGAAACATGTCCGCTGTTACTCAGGGAGACCCCCGCCCCGTACTTGGGCTCACTCACGGGGCGGGAGCCACCGGGGTGGGGGGGGGGGGGGCTCTGGAGGTGCTGGTGGCGCAGGGGAGCAACCAGGAAGCCTGCCGAGGGCACACTGCGGGGAGGTGGTAGTAGCCACCCTCTAAGGAGGACGTGGCCCAGGGCAGCCCTTGCCGAATAATGGCAGGGGCCGGCTCGACGCCGCCGCTCTGCCACTCTGGAGAGCAGTGGAGCTCTCCCTTTGTCCTGGAAAGCCGGCTGCAGCTGGAGCCCGTCTTGAGGGTGTTCACGTCAAAGCCTGCGGCGGGCATTTTGCTGTTCAGGGCAGTGCTGGAATCTGATTTCGCCCAACCCTGCAGATGGACTCCGTTTGCGGGGGTTCATGGGAAAGGACTGCAGCGCGTCTGTCGATCATTGGGCACGTTTTCACATCGACTCTGCAGATGTGAACTTGCGCTTTCAGCGCATTCATCAAAGCCTCCGGAGAGCTGACCCTGTCTCCCCCCGCGTCCTCCCCTCCCCCACCCCGGCCCGAGGCGCTGCGGCTCCAGGCCGCCCCCCTCCCTCTCGCCTGCCCCGGCGCCCCCGGCCTTGGGCTCATTTCCTCGAGACGTGCCGCTGTTTACCAACAGCGGGCAGCCACGAAAACGGCCCTTTTCTTTCATCTCCGGACGGGGTTCCACTACAGTTTCCTGCAGGGATCGGCGAGTGGGCGGGCAGCCAGCGGAGTGAAAGCAAAGCTCAGTCACAGCGACTGGGGCAAGAGCACGGGTGCTGCGTCCTGGAGCCGCAGCTGGAGGGGCTCCCAGGGAACAGCCTTTTACCGGGAGGACGCCAAGTCCAGAAGGGGAAGAGCCCTGTCCAAGGTCACCCGGCTGGCAGAGCGCACCTGGCGTGTGCGCCGCCTCGGGTCCCGCTCCGGGCCGGGAGGAGTCTGGCGCGCCGAGTGGAAATCACCGGACGCTCTGACCGCCCGCGCCTCCGGCTCCTCGGCCACTGTTGACACATTGCTCCGGGACCGCAGGCTCCCCTCTCGAGGACTAGGGAGAGGGAGCCGGCTCTCGCCCCAACCCAGGCCGCCCCACCCTCCGGCTGCCCACGGGCCCCGCCCCTCGCGCACCAGCCCGCCCCCAGGCTAAGGACCTGCCCCCAGGCTGCGGCCCCGCCCCTCGCGCCGCGGCCGGGCCCCCGAGACTGCAGGCTCGCTCCGCCCCTCGCGCCACAGTCGCAGCCCCGCCCCACCTCACCTGGCCCCAGCCGGGCGCGCCCCCAGCACCAGTGCTCGTGCGTGCCCCTCCTCCGCCCTCCCGGGGCTGTGCGGCGCGCGCCGGCTCTGGGCGGGGCCCTGCAGTGGCGGCGGGGCTCCTCCTCCTCCTCCTCCGTCCCAGCGCCTCCCCGACCTCCCCCTCGGGCACTCTCGCGCTCACTGCGCTCCTCCGGGGCCCCTCCGCCAGCTCCCAGCCATGGTGGTCTGGCGCTCGGCCTTCCTCATCTGCCTCGCTTTCTCCTTGGCCGCTCTGGTCCAGAGAGGTAAGGCGGGCGGGGGGCGCGCGGGGACCCCGCCCTGTGGGCTCACGGGGCGGGGGCTTGGCGCCCCGCGGCCCCGTGCTGCGCATGAGCGGCCCGGCCCCCGCCTCGCTGGCCTGCGGCGGAGGCTGCTGGCGGGTGGGCGGGGCTGTGCGGGGCAGTGGGGGTGCGAGCCCCGGGCCCGCGGGGACTGACCTTGCCGCGATCCGTGTGGTCGGAGAGGAGAGACCCGGCTAGAAACAGCGGGAGAAAATCCCCCTTAAAATCTTGAACAAGGTGTCACCACCGGTGACAACAGCTGTCTCCAGGAGATTGCTTTTGGGAAAACCTTGAAGAGAGCGCACTCATTCCCTTGAGCGGGGCTTCTCAAAATGTGTTTTGAGGCCACCTGCAGCAGAAGCACCTGGGGAGCTTCCTGGGCGTATTCCTACCCCCTTTTGTCAGGATCTCTGCGGGGACGGGATGGGGGGGGCAGCGATATGTTGTAGGTCTAACCAGCTCCCCAGGTGCTTCTGGTGCCCGCCCCAGTTTTCTAGCCGTTGGCGATTTTTGCCAAGGAGGTGGAGAGAGAAATGCTGTCGAATCAAGGGAGCAAGTTTCCTAAAAGACCCTCAGTACTCCAAGTGTGGTCCAGGGCCTTCATAGGCATCACCTGGGACTTGTTAGGAATGCAGCATCTCAGGCCCCGCCCCTGACCTACTGAGTCAGATTCTGCATTTTAACTGGATCTCCTGGTAATTCGCAGGCACATTTAAGTTTGAGAAGCATCTTAGAATAAATGCAGTGCGTGGTTAAAAATAGGCCCTCCAACGTGTACAGACAGAATCTTCTTACACTTATTTATATCCCATTTCCACATCAGAAAAAGGTTTGAGGAAAACACTGCAATTGAGCACAGGGTTGAGCTCTGAGCTCCCTGACAAGGAAGGCAAATTCAGCTAGTGACAAACATGAGCTCAGCAGAAACAAAACTTTGTCCTTGTACTGAGTTCTAGTGAGATTTATGTTACATATAGGGAACACTGGAAAACAGTAGGCAGTCTAAGGCAGTTTTGCAAAAGATGCAGAAATGTTTCTCATGTGGGCAGCCATCCTGGACTTGGTACAAGAAGAGCCATTCAGCATTCTACAAAGGTGTCAGGCTCTGTTCCAGACACTGATGATGCAGCAGTGAACAAGACTAAGACTCTGTCTTCATGGAGCTAACGTCCTGGTGGGGGGAGAAGACAAGCACAAACATCACAATCTACATAATATATTGACAGTGCCATGAAGAAAAATAAAGCAAGTACAGGGTTGTTGAGTTTTCTGTTTCATTTTGCTTCTTTGGGGTTAACATTTTAATTTTGTTATGATGCATTTGTGGGGAAAAAGTCTAATTACTTGATTGGCTTGCATCTAATGATATGGAAATTTTGAAAGTGGAAGCGCAGAAAAGTTAGAAAAATGATACTCCCTTCAAGGTGTCTTCTGGAAGTCTTCAACATGATTTGCACATTGAGAAGGGGAGGAATAGAGATAGGTCTCAGATTTTCACCATCACGTGTTATACTAGGTGATTTAGGAGGTGGTGGAGGAAACTGAACCAGTGCAACCATTTTACAGATGAATCGGAGGCACAGGGAAGTAGGAGGTAACTTGCCTCAGGTGGCAGAGTTAAGATTTGACCCCAGGCTTGTCTGATTGCACAGTCCTTGCTTCTAAGCACCTGGAGGCTGCGCTCCTACCTTGGGGAAAGTTCTCTGAACCTTGCTTGGTTTGCTCCGCCCTATTATGCCTAACAACAAAGGCATCTTGGCGGGGGACCAGGAGTGTGTCCCTCTCAGATCTGCGGCCCTGCCACCAGCTGCCATCTCCTGAGTGCTTGCTGTGTTCCAGGCATTTCACATATCTTGGTTTTAGTTGCCTCAACAGTTTTGCTGGTTAGGTATTAACAAGGGGTCCCTGGGCACAGAGCTTGGAAGAGATTGAGCCAGGATCCCACCCCGATAAGACTACTACCTAGTGATCTTTTTAATTGTAATTAAGAGAACCGGAGGAAGCTTTTGCTTCAAGGTGGGGAAACTGCTTTGTGGCTCTTTTGTGCAAAATAAGATGACAGGTATGGGCTTTGAATTGCTGGTCTCTTCTGGGTATCCAGACAGCTACAGTTTGAGAGCTGCTGTGTCAAAATGAACAAACACAAAGCAGTGCTTAGTTAGGCATCTGCTGCCTCTCTTGGAACCCCACAGTGGTGGATTGGGTGGGCCTGCGCCAGAGCCATTTTAGTCCTGGTCCTCAGTAGTGACCTATGACCGAGAAAGACGGGCAGCCCTCAGAAATCACATAGAACCTCGAAGCATGAGTCGTGAAATCCCCTCCGGCTCTGGCAAGTTGAGACAGACTTCAGGCTTCCAGGAGTTTAAAAGCGTGGCTACCAAGTCATCCCCGTTCTAATTTTGGATGGTTTTTTAGTCCAGTGTGTATTTTACTAGCTCTGAAAAAACCCTCTGAGGACAAACATGTTGCCTGTATGCACCTACAGAAATAGGAAGCTGATTTTTTGTGCGGTGGAGAGAAGAGTCTCAGCGGTGCAGGTGGGCAGTAATGATAATGAAGTTTCCATTTCCTGAATGCCTTCCGTGCACCGGGCTCATAACCACCCTGAAGGGTTGGCACCATGACCCATCTCCTTTTCTTATGTCCTTTATGGCCATTTGCATAGGGCCTTGAAAAGTAACTCGGTGGTGGGGCACCTGGGTGGCTTAGTTGGTTGAGCATCCAACTCTTGATTTCGGCTTGGGTTGTCATCTCAGGGTTGTGAGACAGGGCCCTGCATCGGTCCCACGCTTACTGTGGAATCAGCTTGGGATCCTCTCTCCCTCTGTCCTTTCCCCAGCTTGTGCGCTCGTGCGCACTCTCAAATAAATAAAATCTCAAAAAAAAAAAAAAAGTAACTTGGTGGTAACCTATTTCTCAGATGAAAAATGAGTAGCCCAGTGAGGTTTAGGACTTGAACTCAGGTTTGTCTGAATAACCAAAGCAGGGGTCATGAATGTAGATACCCCCAGGGATGGGGCAGGTCATAGAAATGTGGAAAGTGGCTGAGAATAAGTGTGACGAATATGTAGGCAAGCCACCGGCTGCTGAGTACCTGCTCCCTTAAAGAGACGCAGTGCAGACCTTGAAAATAATATGCTAAGTGAAAGAAGCCAGACACAAAAGCCCACATATTGTCCCATTTATATGAAATGTTCAGAGTTGGCAAATCCATAGAGACAAAAAGTAGATGAGTGGTTGCCAGAGGCTGGGGGTGGGGGGCAGGGAATTGGGGAATGAGGAGTGACTGCTTAGTAGGTGCAGTTTCCTTTTGGGGTGATGAAAATGTTCTGGAACTAGACAGAGGTGATGGTTGCACAACCTTGTGAATGCACCAAGAACCATTCAGTTGTACACTTTTAAAGGGTGAGTTGTATGGTGCATGAATTATATCTCCATTTAACAAAAAATTCGCTGTAGTTCAAACAGAACAAATGAGAGTGGAGGCAGCCTGTGATCCCTGGATTGGGGTTGGTCTTTGATCCCTGGGGCTCGGTCGGGTAGAGGAGAGAGAGGAGAGCAGAGTGGGCCCCATGTGTTGGTGGCGCTGAGATGCTAGGCTGGGATCCCGGCAGAAGACCTGTGGGCCTACTCGGGATATTGCATATGAGCCAGACAGGCCACAGGGGCACGTGCAGGCTTGGCCCAGAGCTGTGTAACCCCCTACCTCCACCTCCGTGGCTGTGCACCAGGCAGTCATTGCACTGGACTGACAGGGTCTGGGGACAGTTTGCCTTTTAGTGTCCCATGTTTTGATTGGTTTTCGGTCCGTTCCTTGCTGTCACAGGTCACATCCCCATCCCCTCCATCATTTTGGACACCAGGTAACTAAAACATGTTTGTTTGTTTATTTAATGTGCCTCCCCCCAGCAAATCACCCAAGAGCCAGCCTCAGCAGGTACTGAGGAAGGGGCTGAAGCTACTTCCAGGAGAGGTGGGGATGAGGAGGCCTTTTGGCTGCTCAGAGGGGGGTGTGGGGAGGAGCTGGTTTGGGGACTGGCGAGTTCAGGAAAGAGACCTTCCAAGTGCACTGACTTTCCTGGATTCTTCTGCCACCTGGCGTTGGCGCCTTGCCTGCTCTGTGTCCACCCCCTACTCTTTGCACTCGGGAGGTAGTCCTCTGCTGCTCTCCATGTGCTTGGGGAGGCCTGGCTGCAGGGGCTCCTGTCTCCCAACCCGGACTCGGCTCTCCCTGAGTCTTGCTCATAAGTTCACTGATTGGTCAATCTTGGTTTGCCTGTAGAAGCTTTACGTCATCCTAAACGTGCCCCTAGCCAAAACCTGTGGGAAATCCTTGGATGAAAGTAGGTGTTCCAAACGGAGATGGGTGGGAAGCCCTAATCTCTGGCACCTGTGACTGTTAGGTTACTTGTAAAGGAGAGTTAGGGTAGCTAATCAGCTGCATTTAAATAAGATTCTCCCGGGTTATCGTGGCCAATTGAAAGACAGGGATCCTTTAAATATGGAAGATGGAGGCAAAGGAGTCAGAGCGAGTCAGAGAGCGACGTGATAGAAGATCTGAACCAAAGATGGAAGGGCCAGGAGCCAATGGATGTACACACAGCCTCGAGAAGCTGAAAAGGGGGACGGACTCTCCCTGAGAGCTTCCAGAAGGAACGTTGCCCTGCTGACACCTTGTTTTTAGCCCAGTGAGACCTGTGTTGGACTTCTGGCCTCCAGAACTGTAAGATTAAAAAAAAAAAAGTGTGTTAAATCCGCCGAAATTTGTTGTAGCAGCAAGAGCAACCAATAGGAAAACTAAGGGGTAGATACTAGCCTCCTCTTCATTCATTGAAAAAACTAGCTTGTGATGTTTCCTTACATTGTTTTGATTTTGCTACCTTAAATCAATTCTCAATATGCTCTGAGTTGAGGCGTTTAAATATGCAGAAAACTGGATTGCAGTGATGTGCTCGGTGTGCCAG